CTACGGAGCCAGCTTACAAGACCATAACAAGGGACTCATCGAAGTCTTATGAAGATTGCGAGAAAACAATCTAAAATTACAGCCGGACAAATGCGAATTCCTACGAAAAGAAGTGACATACTTAGGTTACATAATTACAGAAAATGGAATATCGCCGGATCCATCCAAATTGGAAGCCGTAAGAAACTTTCTGACGCCTAGGAAAGTAAAAGATATTCAAGTTTTTATAGGATTAACCGGATATTATAGAAAATTTATCGAGAATTTCTCAAAAATTGCGAAGCCATTAACGAAGCTAACAAAAGAGAAAAATAAATTCGAGTGGACGCAGGAACAACAACAAGCATTTGAAATGCGTAAAGAAAAATTAACGACGGCACCCTTATTAAAATATCCAGATTTCGAAAAAGAATTTATCGTAACGACCGATGCATCAGACTATGCAATCAGAGCGATATTATCGCAAGGACAGATAAGATCAAAGGCCGAACAAAATTATAATACGACCGAAAAAGAACTATTAGCAATAGTATGGGCCGTTAAACATTTTCGACCGTACTTATACGGGACAAAATTTACGATAGTTACAGATCATAAATCGCTCGTATGGTTATTCAATGTAACCGACCCCGGATCTCGATTAATGAGATGGAGATTGAAATTAGAAGAATATGACTATGAGATCGTACACAAGGCCGGGACAGCGAATAGAAACGCTAACGCGCTAAGTCGACATGTGGTGGATATCAACAAAGTCGAGGAGGATGAGACCAACGACACGAAAATAACGCGAGAATATACGGAAGACGAGAAGCGACGTATTCTATATGAATATCACGATGCACCTGTGGGAGGGCATCAAGGAAAAGAGCGCACAATTAATCGATTTCGCCTTAATGCACAATTGGCGAGGATTGACAAAAGATGTTGAAGACTATATAACAAAATGCGAATTTTGTCAGAAAAACAAACTATCGCGGAAAATTAAAACATCACTAATAATAACGGATATTGCCGATAAGCTCCTCGAGAAATGTGCTTTAAATATCATAGGTCCATTAACTATTACAAATAATGGAAATAAATATATTCTAACTTTCCAAGACAATTTAACAAAATTTAATAAAGCAATTCCGATACCGAACCAAGAAGCCGCAACAATTGCGAAAGAATTCGCGATGAAAATAATTTTCGAGCACGGTATCCCAGAAAAAATATTAACGGATGAAGGAACAAATTTTTTAAGTGAAATATTTAAGATCACTTGCAAATTATTAAAAATCAAAAAGATTCAAACAACCGCGTATCATCCAGAAAGCAACGGAGCGCTAGAACGATCCCACCGTACTCTAGCCGAATGTTTCCGACATTATATAAACGCTGATTAAACGGATTGGGACAAATGGACTCCCTACGCGATGTTTACATATAATATACTATATAACAAAATGCGAATTTTGTCAGAAAAACAAACTATCGCGGAAAATTAAAACATCACTAATAATAACGGATATTGCCGATAAGCTCCTCGAGAAATGTGCTTTAAATATCATAGGTCCATTAACTATTACAAATAATGGAAATAAATATATTCTAACTTTCCAAGACAATTTAACAAAATTTAATAAAGCAATTCCGATACCGAACCAAGAAGCCGCAACAATTGCGAAAGAATTCGCGATGGACACCGCACACAGCGACAGGGTTCACACCCTTCGAATTAATTTACCGAGCAACACTACCGACGACATTGTCGCAACCGCCTAAACCCATGTATACATATGATGATTACGCACAAGAATTAAAAGAAAAATTACGCGCGTCACAAGTTGCAAAAGAGCATCTAAAAAGAAAATGAAAACTACGATAAAAAGACTAAACAAATTAAGCTCAAGGTAGGAGAAAAAGTCCCCCTGTACGACGAAACCATTCGCCGAGGACGATCGAAGAAATTGGACTCCCTATGGACCGGACCTTACACGATAATCAAAAAGAATTCGGAAGTGAACTATACAATAGAAATGGGAAAAAAAACCATACGCGTCCACATAAACCGGTTAAAACCGTTTATTGAAAATTAAAAAGTAGGAATAAGAAGAGAAAGAAAAGGAAAAATGAGCGAATAAAATAAAAGTAGGATAAATAATAAGAGAAACAGAAATAAAAAATTCCTACTTTAACGCCCTCCACTTCCATGTCCAGCATCTCGACTCAGGTTCCACTCTCGCAGGACCTGAAGAAGAGGCGACCGGATACGACCAGCGCCAACGGGACGAGGCTTCCGCGCCACGGCGCCGCGACCCACGGGACGAGAATCTCACCGGAACTCAAGCCTGCGACCCCGATTAATATGGGGCAGCGGCGCGTCCAGAGGCACTCCGGGCACAAAGACAACTTCACGATTAACCACTAAATCCGGGAGACCCAGCAATTCGACCTCGCAAACAAGCGCGGGCGCCGAGATCTGGTCCCGAAAGGAACGGGCAAAATAGTCCGACACTTCCAGATTCTCCATTAAAGGATACGGACCCCTAACAGAATTTTGAGCAGCACTAAAAATCAGCTCATGGCAGCTGATAGGCTTAGGAGCCATAACACCCGAAAAACTCGAAAAACTTTCGCACAACGCGATAAGACAACACGCGAAAAAAACTTTCGTACATCGAAATAAAAGAGTTCAGATATGAACCAGGTATCTACTTCGAAAGAATGGGCAAGATAAACCAAATCGAGTCTACTTGGAAAGTGGTGATAAGACTAGATATCGCCGCAATGGACCATCGACAGGGATAACTAGAAAACTATATGGCACAAACGAGAGGCTTATGCTACCATAAACCATTGCAGAAAGAAATGAAAAAAACCTGCCACAACCTGCTACAAATAGCAGAAAAGGACAGAGAACAAGCAGCAAAATTGCTAAAACGTCTGAAAATCCCGTACCAAGGGCTTAAGAAGACACGATGAGGATTAATCAACGGTCTAGGAACAATAGCCAAAACACTTTTCGCCACAATGGACGCAGATGACGAAAAAATTATAAAAGAGCAATTAAATCTAATGGAAAGAAATCAGCAAACGCTGCAGTACGCAATGAAAAATCAAATCAAGATATTAACCGCAACGATTGCGCATGTGGATAACATTGAAAAAATTCTGCAAGAGAACGAAGAACAATTTCTGAATATAACAGAAAAAATGCGACAAATCTGGCTACAAGCAGAAGTCGGCTACGGACAACGAGAAGATCTCGACGAACATTTTATTATATTAAATGCCATAATAAAAGATCTAACAAACGATCTTATGGACATTATCGCGCACTTGACTAATGCGAAAAGAGGGATAATCGACTTAATATTATTACATATAGAAATCATCCTAGATAACCTCAAGGAAACCGCGTCACAAATACCGCAGAGAACGCACTTCCCATTCCAAATATCCACAGAAAATTGGAGAACAATCGAAAAGTTCTTAACAATTAGCCGGTATTACGATAATACAAATATATTTACAATTATAAAAGTTCCGCTAATCACATACCCAGAGTATGAAATAATAAAAGCAATCCCACTACCGACGCACAAATTTAGCAATACGTTTATATTCATAGAAGTAAACCAACCGATAATAGCGATAGACATAGATAGCCGAACATATTTTACGCCTACCGAAAGCGATTTAAATAAATGCATGCGAAATAATGATCAATATGTTTACGAACAGAATTATACCGTATATTATTTAGATAAAGGAGCACTATGCGAAGTGCAAGCGTACGTACAATTAAAAACATACACAAACAATTGTAACGTCCGACACATACACACAAACACAACAATATGGATAGCTCTAAGCAACGGGAATTCATGGTTATACCATACGAGCAAAACAACCAATGGAATTAACATGCGGAAATGAAGTCAAGGTCATTGGGACTGGGTCCCCTATTCGCTATATTTACCGAAAAATGTAAATTAACGACACAAGACGTTATAATCCGGACAAAAAAGACCGCGATAATAACAGTCGTATAAACAAATATCCCTAAAAATTTATCCCAAAAAAATAATTTTTTAAAAATTTTCCTTTGAAAAATAATTTTCCCATAAAATATAACTAAGTATATAAAAAAATCCCAACTCTCTTGTACGCAAAAAATGTTTAATATTCATCCCTAAAAAATAACTGTTAAAAAAATTTGTAACGATACTGTTTGAGATTAGGCGACGTTCGAGAGGCGACTCGAAACTGCCGCGCGACATGTTGCCGCACGAATCGGGACCGGCGGCAGGTCGGCATCGCACACCTATCGCATCATTGCGAGCCGCCGGCCCTGGCGCCCAATCGAAGGCGGCCTTTTCGCGACCGAGCGGAAATTCAGGCAAAACAAACGCCGTCGCCCTTCGCGAAGGATCCGAAGATCAAATTGCGACAAACAAGTCAAGTAAAAACGATCGGCGGAAATACGCAAATTTCCAGAATCTTCCGGATCCTTCGAGGAAGAGGCGATGTAATAAAAGTAAGCCGCGGACCGAGCGCGGCGCATTCCGCTGAGAGTTATCGACGTGCGTACGCTTTTCAAGTGATTAGAGATTTTTGAACGTTTAGTTGAGATAGTTTATTTCGCTACCGTTGTGTGTGACTACCGGAGTTATTCCGAGACAGACGATCTTTCGCTGTTTATCCACCGCGTGCATATCACGATTGCATCCGTGTGCATTCGCGCGACTCTCGTGTTAATCACGGCGTATACAGGGTGTTCGACCGAGAATCACCGGCGTCTAACTACTCGCGCGTTTTGCCGATCCGTCGGCCGTCGCATCTCGCGCGCAGAGTCTTTCGCGGCATCCTCGCTCGCACGTCCACGTAATATCGCAAACATTTGCTGGTCCTTCGAGCCGGATCTCTTGCTATCCGGTGCCTGTGCGTGGAGTGAGTGCAGTGCCTGCAGTGATACCGTCTGTGCTCTTCCGCTGTTCACCTGAAAGACAAAAATGAATAAAGACAAAGACCCAACTGTGCTTTTGCAGTCAGACTTGTACAGGCGCATCGCTCGTGCATACGAGAACTTGCGGAAGTCGGGAACCGCCAACATCTGGATCGGGCTGGCGGAAGCGCGACTCCAAGCCCTCAAGGCAAACTGGGCGAAGTTCCAGTTTCAGCATGACAAGCTGCTCGAACTCTGGGAGGCCCTGTCGGAGAGGGCGTATGTAAACACCGACATGCCAACCTTAGCGGAGGAAGCTTACGTGACGCAAAAGGGTATGATCCTTGACACCCTTCGACGCCTCCGAGCCGCGGAGAAGGTCGAGAATGCAGCCTTCGGACCGGCTCCGTCACAGCCGGCGCGAACGACCCTGCCGAGGATCCAGCTCCCGCAGTTCTCCGGACTCTACGAGGATTGGCCTTCGTTCCGCGACCTCTTCGACTCTCTCATCGGAAGGGATGCATCCGCCGCTGACGTCGAGAAGCTTCACTACCTAAAGGCGTGCCTGAAAGGAGAAGCAGAGCTCATGATTCGAAGTCTACCTGCTACAGGCGAGAACTTTGGTCGCGCGTGGAAGGTTCTCACGGATTACTACGAGAACAAGCGCTTGCTCGTGCGGTCCTACATCGCGAGGTTGACAGCAATCCAGCGAATGAGGGGTGAGTCAAGTGCGGACCTACGCAAACTTTATCACGGAGTGCTAAGTACCGTCGGCTCACTCGAGCGCATCGGACGACCGATCGCGCGCGGGGAAGATCTCTTCGTGCATCTCGTGGTGGATCTGTTGGACACCCGGTTGCAACGCGAGTGGGAGAGTGCGATGAGCGACACGACGGATCCGCCGTCGTACGCGGAGTTGATCCAGTTCCTAGACCGACGGCTACACACGCTTGAGTCGTTGGTGCCGAGCAAACCGGAGACGAGTCCCGCGAAACCGGCTACGAATTCCGGGCGTCCGCCGCGCGTTCTTTACGCCCGGAAACCGGAGAGCAAACGCGGTCAGTGTACGATGTGTCACCAAGAGCACTACATTATGCTCTACGACGCGTTCAAGGCAAAGACGGCGTCGGAAAGAAGGAAGCACGTCGAAGCAAACCAGCTGTGCTTCAACTGCCTTGGGAGGCACAGGGCAAGCGAGTGCCCGTCCAAGAAGACGTGCTCGTCGTGCGGCGAACGGCATCATTCGCTTCTCCATCACGCGGGCAACACCTCCGAGGTCGCCAGATTGTCGCTCTTCGCGAACCGAAGCGCGAGGCCCGCACCGGCAGTGCTTCTCGCGACCGCGCGCGTTCGAGTGGCCGACAAATTCGGAGTCCTGTACGCCGTGCGCGCCTTGGTGGATCATGGCTCCGAAATCACGCTCGTGGCCGAATCGCTAGCGCAGCGTCTGCAGCTGGCCCGCGCACCTACCTCCATCGTTATCGTCGGCGTTGGCGGGCGATCCACGGGCGATCGGGGCCAGGTTGAGCTCGCGCTCTCGCCGCTGCGCGACGGCCCGCCCATGCAGATCTCGGCCTTCGTTTCGGGCGTCCGCCGCGCGTTCTTTACGCCCGGAAACCGGAGAGCAAAAGCGGTCAGTGTACGATGTGTCACCAAGAGCACTACATTATGCTCTGCGAACGACGGCCCGCCCATGCAGATCTCGGCCTTCGTTTTGGACCGGCTGACGACGACCAGCGGCGGCCTCCGTGCAGACCGGCACTCCTGGCGGCACCTCGACAACCTGGAGCTGGCCGACCCGGACTTCTTCGCCGCCGATCCAGTAGAGCTTCTCCTGGACGCCGATGTCTGCGCGGACATCCTCCAGCCAGGTATCCGCCGCGGAGGACGCCACCAACCTGTGGTACAAAAGACAACGTTGGGTTGGATCCTGTCGGGCGCCGTCGGCATCACGGCCGCCGCGCGGACCGTTCACACATACCATTGATGCGGAGACGATGGCCTCCACTCCCTGGTGCAGCAGTTTTGGCGGCAGGAAGAAATGGACGCCACCGCTGCGCCACTCACCGTCGCCGAGAAGGAAGCCGAGGAACACTTCGCCCGGACGCATTCACGAGACGTCAGCGGCCGCTTCGTGGTCCGACTCCCGCTCACTCCGCCGCTACCGGACCTTACGGGGACGAAGTTCGCTGCCGCCCGCCTGCTCGGGCAAATGAAGCGGAGGTTCGCCCGTGACGAGCAACTGCGACGTCTGTACTCTGCCTTCATGCAGGAGTACGAGGCCCTGGGGCACATGTCCCCTGCTCGGCCGGGCACAGCAATGCCCTCCGAGTGCTTCCTGCCTCACCACGGCGTGATGCGCAAGGCAAGCTTCTCGGCCAAGATCCGGGTCGTCTTCAACGGCTCGTCGACCGTGGCGTCCGGCGTGTGCCTCAACCGGCACCTCAAGATGGGGCCGAACCTCTTGCCCGCCTTTGATGACGTGCTGCTGCGATGGCGCATGCATCGATTCGTGCTGGCGAGCGACATCGAGAAGATGTATCGCCAGATACTCGTCGCCCCTGAGGACTGCAACCTACAAAAAATCTTCTGGCGTCAAGACGACAACACAGCTCCAAAGGAATACGAGCTCAACACGGTCATTTGCAGCCTGGCATGCGCCCCGTTCTTGGCCATCCGCTCCCTTCGGCAACTCGCCAACGACGAGGAGGCCCTCCGCAAACAGCTACTGGCCATCCGTATGGAGAACCAACGGCTTCAAAAAGAGGCGGAACAAGTGAGGGAGAATCTTCGACTGGCACTTGAAAGCCAGTACGTTCACCCTCATCTTGTTAACCGGGCCAGGACAGGATACATACCACCTGCACAGGAGGTCATGGAAACGGATACTCCCATGGAACAAGCGGACAGTGACGCGTTCACAACACTGAGTGTTACACTGCCTCCCAAGGAGGAATGGCCACAAGCCATAAGACCGCCAATCAAGGGAGTCACCAAGGTGCTGGAGGACCACAGTGAGAGTGCTCCAGTCAGACTGTCAACTCTAGACAGCCTGATAAACAAGCGCTTGGATAGTCTCTTTAGCGTCTGGTGCGGGAGGATGGAAGAGGTTTTTGGGGAAATCATCGGGCAAGGCCCCCAGCCCAGAAAACCAGGGATAACAAACCCTCCTTCAACCAAAGACAGGGATACTAGGAAAAGAAAGGAACTAGGAACCGGAACTGCAATTACTCCTGTTCCCACCTCCGCTGCCGTTAAAAAACAGCAACAAAGAGATACTAAGGAGAGTAGCACCAAGTTAAAAACGGCCCACCCTGTTCCCACCCCGGGGCCCTCTAAAAAGAAAGCCCCGGGAGATACTAAGGAAAGGACCATCACCTCCAAGGTGCCAAATGCAGTGCCAGTAGGAAATAAGGAAACATCCTCCTCCTCCTCCTCCCAATCGAAAACCACAGCTTCAACCCAGGGAGAAATCTGGGCAACTGTAGTCAGAAAGGAAGGCAAGAAGAAAAAGAGTCAGGCAACAACATCTAAACCTGGCCCCGCCAAACCCGACACTGCACAAACGGCAGCAAAGGGCAAAGCGAAGCCTGGACAGAAGAGTGCAGAGACCGCCCCCAAAAAGCGAGGGCTGCCAAAAACAGCGGCGGTCACTGTCACCTGCCCGCAAGGGCAATACGAGGAAGTGATTCAGAAAGCCCGGACCAAGATTAAACTCTCCGACTTCAAAATCGAAGGCATGCGCACCAAGAGGGCGGTCACGGGGGCTCTCATCTACGAGATCCCCGGCGAGAAAGGCAGAGAAAAAGCGGATGCCCTTGCAAACAAACTGCAGGAGGTTCTCGCAAATAGAGAGGGAGTCAAGATCTCCAGACCAATGAAGATGGGAGACCTTAGACTTAGAGATCTGGACGACTCAATTGGAGCAGAGGACATTATTCAGGCTATTCTTGCACTTAAAGAGTGCCAACGTACAGACATCAACCTGGGCCCAATCAGGAAGTCTGGCAACGGCCTAAGGACGGCGTGGGTACGATGCCCGTTAGAGTCTGCAAATATGGCAGCGGAAAAGGCCGGATACAAATCGGATGGGCATTGGCGGGGGTCGAGCTGCTTGACGCAAGGCCCCTGCAGTGTTTCAGACGTCTGGAGGGGGGACATGTCCGGGTGACGTTGATCGAAGTGGAAGGTGCTACAGATGTGGAGAAAACGGGCATGAGGCCAAATCATGTACCAAAATGTTCGGTCTGTGCAGTTTTGGGAAGGCCGGATGAACACCGCACAGGGGCACATATAAGAAAAGATAGTTTTGTATTAAGACTCTTTAATAAATGTATTAAATAAAAATATTATAAAAAAATTTTAGGAAGAAGGGGTCGGTAGCCAAAGCGCCTACGGCGCCTAGACCAAAAATTGACCCCAGTGTACTCGCAACTACTGGCCATTCAACATCAAAGGTCAGAGTGGTGAATAACGTTAAGGTGACGGAAGAAGAACTTTCTCCTGCTTTAAGGAAGAAGAAAAAGGTGGGAGAAACAGTAACGCGGAGGACGGCAACGAGAAGTTAAGCTGGCGCGGGGACGCTCGGAAGCATGCAGTCGTGATTTCCGAGCGCTCCCAAATATTGAGCGCCTGAGACGGACATCCGGGGGGGTTTTAGTGGGTATTCCCTGCGGAAATAATCGCAGGGCGAGTCCCACATAATCCCGCGGAGCAACGCTCGCTCTGCGGGGTATGCGTAAATGCATTTCCCCCTTGTAACAAAAAAAAAAGAAAAGGAGACAGTATGTTCCGTCCCCCCTATGGGGGGGGCTCCACTATCAAAAAACTAGACACATAGGTTTGCGTTGAACCTCGCTTCGCGTGGAAAGTTGTAAACGTGGAACCTTACTACGCATTAAAAATATATATGCGTGGAGGCAGTATGTCCCCCCCCCCCTACGGGGGGCTCTACTTCCGGAAGATATAACCTAACCCAAACCTATATATTTCTGATATACTGTGTCCGATCGGGGCTGTGTCCGATCGGGATGGTGTCTGATTGCAACCATATGTGTCCGATCGGGCCTGTGTCCAATCGGGCCTGTGTCCGATCGGGATGGTGTTCGATTGCAACCATATGTGTCCGATCGGGACTGTGTCCGATTGGGTCTGTGTCCGATCGAGCCTGTGTCCGATTAGGACTGTGTCCGATTGCAACAGTATGTGTCCGATCGGAACTGTGTCCAATTGGGTCTGTGTCTGATCGAGCCTGTGTTCGATCGGGAAATATTGTCGTGTCCGATCGGTAATGTGCGCTATCGGGACGATCCCAAATCTAAGCTTTTTTCTCCCTTCTTTTTTTTGTATTTCTTGTATTTCAGTACCCACTATACAAAAAAATGTGTCCAATACGTTTCAACAATATTGCTTTGTAACATGAAATGTTTCAGAGATTCCCGCAGAAACATTTTAGAAATGTAACATAAATAGTTAATGTCCACATTCAGATACTTAGATATGAAACGTTATAGAAATATCTCTTGATATTATGATATGTCATAAACATTTTTTAGAAATAATATTTAGACGTTGCTGTGGTATATTACTATAATAATATTCACAGCGATATCATAGATATCATATGATTCATTTCGACAGTTCCGATTAGCTCAATTATAGAATCGCTAATAGCAAATCTTCTAACATAATTTGTCAATCTTAACCTATTTTTCAATGTATGTTTTTATGGCATCTAAAAAAATGGATATATATAAAATTTATAACTTAAAAAGTAATATAGATCAAAAATAGAATATTAAATAATAGACAAATAAATGATATTGTATGCAACTTACTTTTCATGTAAATAATCATTTTTAAATTTTTTTATTTGAAATTATTTTCAGCTCCAATCCAAGAGCACTTGGAAGCAAAATTATTTGTAAATAATTTTTGCAATACTCTTTTCATGGCATCTTTTGATGTAGTATCACCAATCATGATTAACATATTAACCTACGATAAAATATTATTAATAAATCATATTCCTAATGTTAATATGTTATACTTTTTAGAAAAGATAAAAACATAAAAATATATTGTATACATACCAGCTGTGATTGTGCTTCCTCAGATGTTGATATAATTTCAAAATTATTAATGTCTTCAAAACAATCCATTGGTAATTGTGGAAGCATTTCAATCAATATTACGATGAGTATTTATATTATTGCCATTATTTTCCAAAATATGTAATTGCTCGTCCATTTCTCTATACATTAGTTTTATTTTAAAAACACATCGTAATATAGAGTCGAGAGTTTCAGTAGCTATAATAGCAAAATAATTAAAATATGATTTTTGTATTAATATTTGGTTTTTTTCTCTATTTATAAATATTATCGTTTACAAAAATGATTATAATGTATACTGTCCATCTATTCTTCATTAATATAACCATTTTTTTTGAAAGTTACAAATAGTACATATAATTTATTTACTATGCATAACTTCGCTTATATGGATAAAATTCTTTTCACAATACATATAAAATTGTTTAACAATAATTTGTTGGAATTGTTGGATAAAGTATAAATATAACAGATACTATAACTTTTACTATGATTGCATGTAGAAATAATACCATTTTTTGTAGGAATAATATTGTTTTCTGCTTCTATGACAATTGGAATCTCATTTATATGTAGCATATGTGAATCATTATGACCAATATTTGGATTGACATCATCATCTAAAAAACACATTTTTTATAAAAATTTTACTTTTATTTTATAAATATATTTTCCTATAAATAAAAAAATGGAATAAATAAAATGTAAAATATCAGTTATGTCTTGTTCGTGTAAGTTGTTATTTAATTCGGGAATAGAATCATTGTCGCTGATTTTGTTTGCACTCGAATTACTCGAATTATCTGAAAAATATTATCTATATTTATTATTACCTGATATTTTTAAAAAAATATCTTTAATATTTTCTTATATG